CGATCGAGATCCCATTGATGACGCCCCAAACCGGCTTGGAACCCGGTCCCTACTGCTCCTCCGCCTCCACCATCCAAACTGGATTTGCATTTCCATTCGCATTCTGCGGCTGTTCGCGGATCCTCAGTTGAGACCGAACTCTGGAGCAGGAATGACGCCAACTGCCAATTGGGTTCTGCCGCTCTTTCTGTGCCTTCTCTGCGCGGGATTCCCCAGCCTGCATGGAGCTGATCTCTGCCAGCCCGTCGGGTGGCGGAACTTCCAGTGCAACGAGGTCGCTTCTCTGCAGGATCTGGTCGACCTGGGCGCCGAAAACTGGCACACGCTCTCCATACGGAATGTGCAAGCCGAACTGGAGGTGGGATCAGGTGAGGTCTGAAAAAGGGCGTGGTTTCCCAAGGGTTTCGTCTCTTACTCCAAAACAGAGCATGTTTTCGTAGTTTCAGGAATAAGCAGTAATGGTAAATAGCTATTAGGAGGTGCTTTATTTATTTCTTTTATTTAAGATTGGTTTATTTTTAAACGCTATTTGCCATCGAACCCTTTTAGGCGAAACTGCCGATCACTTGGGCAACTTACTAGATCTGGATCTGACCGGCGCGGCTCCAATAAATCTGCATACCAGCGGCTTTGCCATTCTGCCCCATCTGCGCTACCTGAATCTCAGTGGCTGCGGCCTGGTTAACATCCGGGGAAACCACTTTGCGCCTGAGTCAGCGCTCCAGAGGATCGATTTTAGTCACAACCAATTGGAGCTGCTGGACCGCGACTTTTTTGGCAACCTGAGGAAGTTGATCTATGCGAATTTTTCGCACAATGCCCTGCAGCAATGCGATATGCCGCACATGCCACTGCTGAATCGACTGGAACTGGGGCACAACCGCTTGGTAAATGCCACCTTTGGAGTCTGTCCCCAGCTACAGGAGTTGATTTTGAATGACAACCAACTGGCACAGGTGCGTCTCTCCTTAAGTAAGTAATTACAGGAATTGTAGGAATGCAAAGCTTTGGAATAACACTTTCCTAAACTAGTAATAATGCAATTTCCTATATATAGAATCACCTTTATTTTGATCTTCCCAGTTGGCCGCATCGAACTTTACTAGTTAATGTGTACTTAGTTGGATTTGCATTTCATTTGTTAAATTGCTCATGGTGATCTGTGGCTTTTGGTCGAGTTGTATTTTGTTGACTATTTTTTGTTTATTTATGGGAGATAAATTTACAATTGAAAAGTCATTTTTGAAAATAGTAGCATTCCTCATTGATTCTAATTTTAAAGCTGATCAAAATATTTGCAAACCTCTTTTCTCACATTGTAAACAAAGTTTAATGATATTTAAACTGAGAACAAAATTGTAAACCTTCTATGAGATAATTGGCCAATTTGAATTTTGCCAATTTTTAACATTGTGAGGCTTTAAGTGAAAAAGGACATCCCATCCAAACTGGTTTTTTACTTGGACAAAATCTTCCTTTCAGCTGGACGTGAATGCCTTTCGTGGACTGCATGGCCTGTTGGAGCTGCAGCTCAGCGGAAACAGATTGAGCTCCATTGGCCTGGAAACCTTTCAGCCACTCGCCCAGCTGCGTAAGTTGAACCTTTCCCAGAACGCCCTCGATGCACTGCGTCCAAATGTGTTTGGAGCTGTTCAGAACTTTGTGCTGCATCTGCAGCAGCTGGATTTGTCCGGGAATCGCATCCGCCTGTTGTTCGACAACCAGTTCCGAGTGCTGGCCAGACTCCAGATGTTGGATGTGTCCAGGAACAGCATCGCCAGCCTCAGTCCCGGTCACTTTGTGGGCTTGGGCTCACTACGGAAGCTGTATCTGCAGTACAATGCTATACTGGAAATCAAGCCGGCCACCTTTGCCGCCCTGCTGAACCTGGACACCTTGGATCTGTCCTACAATAACCTGGAGTTTCTGGAGGAGCAGATCTTCGGAAGCAACACCTTGCCTCGCATGCGAAGGCTCAACTTGAATGGCAATCGTCTGAAGCAACTGCATCCACTGGCTTTCTCATCGTTGCCATTTTTGGATTACCTAAAACTGGGCCACAACGAACTGAAGTCCTTGGACGTGCGTATGTTTGCACCCATGCGGCGCCTTCAGAAGCTCCATTTGGGTCACAATCTGCTGGAGGAGATCAACCTCGATGTGCTGGAGAGCCTAAGTAGTGTGCAGGAGATCTTAGTGGATAACAATCGCCTTACCTTTCTGGCCAAGGTGAATGTGAGCTTTCCGAACCTTAAGCGCGTGTCCATCGAGGGTAATCCGTGGCAGTGTCCCTGCTTCGTGAAGCTCCAACACTGGCTGGCCACCAGGGATGTGGTCTATCTGCGCGATAACACGGGCTACTACAAGGGCGAACGACCGCTGTGCATAGTGACCAATGTGGATTACTGCATAAAGAATTTGCAGGCGGTCCGCCGTCTGGGAATTTTGGGCGACTTCCAGGGCGAACAGGTGGAGGCGGATGCTTTCGACGACGATGCCAGCGCAGCACAAGACTGATAGGTGTATGATTGCCTCCTTTTACTCGTAGTCATAATCAAATCAATTTGCCTAGACTTAATAAAATCGTGCCAAACTAGGAAAACCCTAGAAGATACCGACTATCTGATCATTCCACATGAGATCATTATCATTCCCTGGGATATGCTACAACTGGAAGACACCTCAATGGTGGTCCATAAAAAACGCTCTTAAATTTAAACACTTTAAATATAACGCAAAATTGCACAAAAAGATTCTTTCAGACACGGACATTTTGAAGATATATTGGATCGATTTATCATCTTTCGGGCATATTCATGGTTCCAGCGTCTCGAATGGGTTTTAATTTACAATTAAACAACTAAAACTCGAATCGTTTAGGCAGCCTTGACGCGCAGGGCCAGAGCGCTCAGATCGGCGATGCACTTGTTGAGGGTCTCCTTCTCCTGCTGAGGCGAGATGCTGGCCAGCACGTTAGTGGTGATCCAGTTGACCATGTGCTTCTGGCTAAGACGACGCTCGACGTGGCGGCACTCCACCTGGTAGTCGAGACGGCGCTTCACCTCCGAGTACACATTCATGGCACGCTCGCGGAATGCGGCCTCCAGCTGCAATGCAATGTTCTCCTTCTTGGCGTCCATCAGCAGCAGGGCACCGTCGGCGCGCCACTGCTCCTTCTTCTCGGCCTCGATGGCGTCGGACAGGACCTTCAGCTCAGCTTCCCGTCCCTCCTTCCACTCAGATTCGATTTTCTGCGTTTGGGATAAGTGCAATTAGCGGTGGGTTTTACAATTCATGCGAATAACTATTTACAATGCATGCAGTTAATACAATAACTAATGCTGTTTTTGGTAATCCCATGATGGGCTTGGCTTATACTCACATCGATCTCGCCATCAGCCCACTTGGCGATGACCGGGCCGAGCTTCTTGACGGCGATGACGGCCATGATGCCGAGCGACAGACCGCTGTAGTATTCGTGCTCCATGACGTAGATCTCCTTGGAGCAGAGGTAGGTGATCAGACCCACGCCGAAGGTGTAGGGTCCGGTGACACCGGTCTTGTTGTAGAAGAACTGGAACCACTCCTCGGGCACGAATCCCAGGCGAACCTTGCCGGGATGCTCGGGGCGCTGACGGCGCTCGATGGCACCGCCAGGAGCGGCAGCAGCGGCGGCCGACCGGGTGGCGGCCACGGTCAAGGGGCGCTGGGCTGTAAGTGCAGTTCACCAATTAGTTGTACTCAACTTTTTTATTTGCAAAAAGTATCCATTGCGAATGGGTGGTGATTACATAAACCACGATGTCCGACGACTTTGCAATGCCGTAACAATTTTCACGGTCATTCGCGGCCGGAGATTCACTGCCCACCGCTCGATTTGCAACCACGGATTAGCTGGCCATCTATTTATACGGTTTGCGGGTTTACCTGTTAGAAGAGCGGCTCTCGAGAACATTTTCCAGGCAGTTGCGACGAATTTATGCTACTAAATTGACCCGAAATTACCAGTTCACAATAGTGACAGGTTAGGAGAGCGTTGCCAGATCAACCGCTTGTCAGCTCGGTCTTACAACACTGGCAGAGTGCTTCCCATTTGAATTTTATGTATAAAAATTAGTTGATTGGAAATGTACGTTTATAACTTTTATTTGTATTTTCAACTTTTTTTGAACTTATTTTTATGATATTAATTTTATATAATCGAGTGCTTGGCAGTAATAAACCATTTACGCGAACTGTTTACATTTTTAAAAGTTTAAGTTGGAATATAAAAAGCTTAAGTAGAATAAATTAAAATTCATTGTGACAGCCAAATTCTATAGCTATTTTACATTGCTTAAGATTAAAACGGAAAAAAAAATACCTCGTCATAACTTTACAAGTTTTTATTTTAAAAAATATTACAATTTGCTAGATAAATTGTGCCTAAAGTAATCAGAGTTAGCTGCGAAACAATATGCATTAAAATACTTTTACAAAATACTATAGAAACAGCGAACAGGGTTTGATTTTAAATGGTTGGTTCGGGAATTCATGTGGATATTTTTGCCATAAAACATTAATTTGTTTCTCAGTTCGAAGCTATTTACGTGCAGGTTTCATAAATTAAGCATTAAAGCATGAGCATCTTTGTTGTTGGTTGTCGCTAAACTAAATGACTGTCTTGTGCGTGGAACTTAAAACTTATGAAAAACATACACACAGGCTACATTCAAAAGAAAAGGGGCTAATTCCAAATCACTCGGTTACAGCTGGGTTCAAACAAAAATATCATAAGACTATTTACAGCAGTAGTGAACAAATAGATATCTTTTAAAACGTAATAATACACTTATCGAATTATGTTACAACTTTCAACTTATGCCTTTGATGCTGTTCTTTGCTAGATCTCCTTCCCGTTTCACATCTTTCCTATTAGCTTCCGTATAAAAACGTAATGATTCTGCGGAGGAGGTGTTGCCTAACATTTATAATGAAGGTGTGTCTGTATGTGGTGGTGAGTGGGTGCCATAGTACATATAGATGTTTGTGTTTCTGTTTATGCTCGACGGGATGACATAATGCGGCGGACACACTCATCATCGCCCTCAAAGTGCTCGTGTGCCGAGGAAGGATGTGAATGCGTGGCCAGTTGTGTGCTGTTGTCGATTCACTCGATGAAGTTGAAGCGAGTAAGCAGCTTGTGGTATAACCACCGCACCACCTGCTGCACTCGTCCGGCCATCCAGGCGCACAGGCTGCTGGTGTGCCGCACCTTCGACGCGTAGTGCTTGATGTGATCTGTGCAGTAGAGAGTTAAGAGGGCAACCAAAAGTACAGCGAAATCATAAAGAGGAAAGCAAGACAGCCTAGGGCGTATAGGTATTTTGAAAAAGGATATAATAGTGTCCAGGGTGGATGGCCGCCGTTAATGTAGTTCACATAGGTGAATCCGTCCTTGCCCTTGCCCCGTATATTGTAATAGTAGGGCAGGAATGAGTGAAGCGTAAATCTAAAAGCCAAAAATGGTTTCACACTATTAATAGAACATGGCCACGACAGTGGTGGAATACCTTCTCTTCTCGTAGAAAAATATGGCAGGTTGATTGGTGGTCAGCGTGTGTAGGAAGATCGCCTTCACCGAATGCCGCTCGGCTGTCGTCAGGTGGTTCATGAGCGCGTCCAGTAGCAGCGATCCGATACCATTGCGTCGATGCGAACGATGGACGCCCAGCGACAGTATATACCCGACATCGGCGGAACGACCCATCGAGTCCGGCAGGATGCCCTTGTCCTGCATGGGAAAACCGCTCAGCCTGGTGTACAACTCATCACTATCACTCATATTGGCTATTACCTCCTTGTTCACATTTCGATAGGGTTTGATTTCGGCAACGATTAAACCAATTATGGCCAGATTATATACAGCTGCCAGCGCAAAGAAGCGCGTGCTTGAGGTAATATCCTCATACCATGATAGTGGATAGTCGATTGGAAACCATTCTTGGCACAGCTGGCGCACCTACACACGATCATCACATCGAGATGCAAATGGGGGGATTATCTGGTTGGTTGATGAACCTCACTCACTCACCTCTGTTAGATCGTCGGGCACCAGGAACCGTAGCTGCACATCATTAATGGAGCACAGCGGTACGTGTTCGCAGTCCACACGTGTGCTGTCGCTATTGGGCGGCGCACTGTGTTTGTTGTAGCTGCAATGCTCGCAATGGTATGATAATGTTTCATGATCCTCATGTATTAGTCAACCGAAGAGGCGGCGAAACACCGAATTCACTTGCATAATACCGCCGAAGCGGCGTCAATAGATAAACAAAAGCCGCCCATTGACGGGGCTCCGGTGGCCGCATAAGCAGGAAATCCGTGTGCAGCCGACTGATAACCAAATAGATATATGTACGTATACTCACAGTGTGAATTGTGCCATCCTATTGTCCGGGGGGGTGTTGCTGGTGCTGGTGCTGGTGCTCCTCCGTTCCCACTGCCACTGCTGCTGCTGCTGCTGCTGCTGCTCTGTCCAATTAGAGCAATTATGTCCATTTATTGCACCACCAACACCGCAGCCGCCACCGCCGTCGTTGCCTGAACAGGTTAGGCGCGGAATCTTGTCCAACGGAGCCTTCTCCTCCGGGTGAGTGATTCGTATTCGTATTCGTTTTCGGCTTGGTGCGTGTTTTTGGGTGTGCGCTCAATTGGCTTTAATTAACATTTACATTGAGGTGGTGCCTGGCGGCCGGGGGAGGGGCAGAGTGTCGCCGGATCATGTAGCAACCACTTGCTCGCTGGTGTGCGGGTGCTCCGCTGATTTTGGTTTCGAATTGGGAATTGGATCTCAAGTGGAATCGGTGGCTCTCGGGGAGGGAATCCCTTACAACGCTGGCCAGGTGGTGCTGATCCGCTGGTGGTGTCGCATGCCGCTGCTGCTGCCCGCTGGTCACAATTCAGATGGCCCGCAATGATGCCTCATTTGTCCTAATTTATTCGCCAAGCCAAAAAGAATTAATGAAAACAAATCAGCAGTAGTGAGACCGCATTTGGATCTGAGAAACATACCAATCGATGGAGGTGGAGCCACCTGTTTCGATACTATCGATACATCGTCTAGGGCGAAGTGCATTTAACACTCCAATTGGAAATTCAAATTAATAGAAATCATATAAATTTTTTATTAAATACGTGATTTCCGCTGTACATATTCTTAATGATAAATAAATGTACATTATAGAAAACATTTTTTTTGCAGAAAATCTTATGTTTTTGGATTTAATACCTAAACTAATATTAATATTTTGTAAAATATTTAATCTTAAGACATATGCAAACATGTATGTGGTTTATGTGGTTCAAAACCTCCTCGTCTGTCCCACCGCTTGGGAAGTGCTGGGCGCTGGAGCGCCCTGCTTGCTGGGATCCTCCAGCACACGCACCACCATCGACGACTTCGGCCCAGTGCACCAGGTAATGCCGTTCTCGTCCACCACGAATGTCTCCAGCGTCACCTGGAAGTGCCCGCCACTGGAGATGGGCAAGAGGAAGCTGCCGGAGAGGAAATCGCGCTGGGGCTTCACAATCTGGTTGAGGGTAACGGTGTCGTTGGCACCCTGCTTGGGCAGCTCTTGCGAGGATCGCGGCGGTGGCGTGATCAGCTGTGAGGTGAGGCTCAATTGAACGGACTCCACGCGGCGGAAGTGTTTCTTTTGCTTGCTGAAGTGCTGCAGAACACCCTCCACCTTGATTACCAGGTTACTGCCCGACTGGACGTTCACGGGTTCGGTGGCGCTTCTGGGCTGCGGACTCACCGACAGCTTGATCTGTGTCGACTGCAGAATCTGGAAGAAGTAGCGCGGCAGGCAAAGCGGTGTCTTCGTTATGATCTCGATCTGCGCAATGATGACATCCAAGTGCCGGTTGCTAATGGTCTTGGCATTGGCCGGCTCCTGGGGCAGATTCTTCTGCATCTGTTCCATGCGCTGGCAGCTGGCTGCGAAGTAGCGCGTCTCCGGGTGATCGCCTGTGGTTAGAAAAACAGGTGATTCCGGAGGAGTGGCGTAGCAAATCGACTCGATGATGTGGGCGAAAAGAGCGCATTGAAATTCAGCCACCTCCAGAAACTCCAGCGTCACGTGATCCGCATCGAAAGAGGATTTGTAGAGCCTGGCGTAAGTCTCCTCGCAGGCCTTTAGTGCCTTCACTAGCTTGCGCAGCTGGTTCGTCACATGACCGAATTTCTGCAGATAGTCGCGCGAGTTCTGGGCCAAACTTCCAGCTATTGCCGGTGGCGGCACAATCACCTGAGCATTCTTAACGGTCACAGCCAGGTGAAGGGTCTGCAGAAATTGTGCCCGTATCTTCAGATACTCCAGCTGAAAGGTGCACGGGTGCTGAGGTGAGGAGCAGGCTCTTAGGCTGGCAAGCGCCTGCTGATAGAGATTGCTAGCCATCTCCAAACGCTTCATCAGCGGCATTAGGGGTTCCGGTGCCACCTTTGGTGCATAATTATCCCTCATGTAGGCGTATTCCAAGCCGTAGTTAAGAATGCACTCCGCCTGCGAGATCTGCGAAAGTGCCACCAGGAAATAGTGAATATGATCGCTGATCACAATTTGGGAGACCTTGGTGTAAATGTGAGCAGCCACATAGTGGTGACCATAGCGACTAGCGGTACGTGCAATCCTGTACAGCGTCCAGCAGTTGAGCCTACCGAGGCACTTCTCAAAGCACTGAACCACCTTTTGCGGCAGATAGCAGCCCATGGTAGTTTGGAGCACCAAAGAACTTAGGATCTCCACGCTTCGCAACTGTTGCTCGCAGTTCTCCTGGTCGATAATGGCGTTTAGCTTGTGCAGGATGAGCGGTAGGCGAGCTAGCATGGGGTTTACCTGAAATTGAACAGTATTACAAATTGTTTCATAGATGTATTAATGCAGAGATACCTTTGGCGGGGGCAATTCATCGGTATCCATCGCGTTGTCGTCTCCTATCAAATCCTCTGCGGTGGAGAAGGCGTACTTGCGCAGCTGAAAGTGCTCACACAGACCTACGAGTGCCTCGCACATAAGTTCCGCGTTGGCTGGCGGATAGGCACCCTTATCTCCTAGAGTATTGGTCACGATCTCGATGAAGGATGTTCCAAATTCAGCGTTGGCTTGCGTGATCCTTATACCGTATGTCAACACTCTGCGCAGATCGCGGGTGCACTCCGCCCGCTTGGCCGTGCAGAGAAGCAATCCTTCCATGTGTAGGTTGACCATATGGAGAATATCGTCCACCTGCTCGCCGCTGCCCTCCTTCTTTAGGCCGAATGCCACTAGAACCGACAAAACTGCCATGGCCTGAGTGGCGGTAGTGTAGTCGTCCAGCTTGCTGATGCACTGGATGCAAAGACGAAGCAGAGCTACGCGATGCTCGCGAAGCAGCTGCTGGCAGGTAAGCTGGCATTCGCTTAGCTTCAGCAGGATGGAAAGAAAGAGGAACTGCTCCTTGGAATTGGTACACAATTCGAATCGATCAATGAGAGCTTTGATGGCTGGCTTGGGCCAGGCATGAACGCTCTGGCGACCGGCCAACTCGTTGAAAGAGCGCAGCACCTGGATGCGCACGGGTGTCCTTAGGTCCTGCATGAAATCCAATAGAACATCCAGCTGGCCAGGCACTCCCACCAGCGTTCGTGATGATAGTTGAGTGAGGGTGTCTATGATGGCCACCACAAAGCTCTGGGCCGGATATTTCGGCAGTAGATCCATGCACAGCCTGCTGACCAGCGACGCTGTGGTCGCCTCGTGATGCATGTGTCGTAGCACGGGAATCAGGAGCAGCTTCATTGGCACGGGCACCTGTAGCGATTCGATCATGTCCGAAATCTTGGCGCACATACTGATGGCAAAGGAACTGGACTGGGCGGCAAAGCAGCTGCTGGCATAGATGGCAGCCTCCACCTCGACGGTATCGTGGCTATCCAGAGCACGTCGAATGGCATGGTGCACCTGTTGCTTCTCGGGAATCACACGGGAAACGGCGCCCAAAGTGCGCAGGAGAAGAGCACGCGCTACCGGATCGTTGGAGTGCATCACAACGAAAATGCAACGCACAAAGTTGTCAATGTTCAGGATCTTGTCCAAGTGATTCTCGCTCTGCTGGCAGACACGGAGCACCCAGAAGCGCAAGAGATTCGATCCGCTGACAAAGTAGTCGGCTAGCTTGATGAACGACGAGTTGATGAGGATGGGGAAGGGATACTTCTCGAAGAGGCGCGGAAAGCGGACGACCGCCTCGCACTGGATTCCCTGCTTGGTGCTCCGCAATCCCTTGTCCAGTTCCATGAGCACCGCATTCGAGTCGTGCTCATTTTCGTTCAGGAAGCTCTCGTTGAAGTTGCTCACGCGGGTGCCGGTCAGGTGAGCCATGGTTACCGGTGTCCTTACTCACATTTATCGCAGAGAAATCGGTTTTATTGAGTTTTAAATTCGCTAAGCAACACAAAAACAAACCGGCTGCAAATGCTTCTTCTTCTTGATTGTTGGTCGTTCGAGGGTAACGATAGCTGGTCACTCTAAGATAGTTTTAGAATAACGGGGATACCGTGATTCTAAAATTTAAAAACCTAATAGATAAGCTTACGTTTCAGAAAAAATACAATAACTTATAAAAAGAAATGTATACTCCATTATTAGTTTAATTTTTACCAAATATACTGCATCTTCTTTGTCTATGTGTAGTTAGTTTCTGCATCTGCACAAACTAAGGTCACACTGACCGCTATTCATTGAATTTGTAAATGTTTTGAAATTATGTTTGTTTTGACTAAAGGCACGTGAATATTAAATAAAACACTAAGTATATTAGTTTAATAACTTTTCAAATACTCTTTATAGATGACGAAAAGTTTGTGTTGTTTCCCGGTAAAAAGGTGTACACCATTGGTCGCCTGGCCACGGATTTAATTGTTGCGCAGGACCTGAGTATAAGTCGCACTCATGCGAAGCTCATCCAGGCGGAAGCGGATGGCGATGACTCCCTGCATATCGAGGACCTTGGCTCCAGATATGGCACCTTCATTTTCCCAATGAATTCCCAAAAGCCGCGCAAGGTGCCTGCCAAGACATTGACTCCATTGCCTGTGGGAACACGCGTGCGATTTGGCGCAAACATGAGCATTTGGCAGGTCACCCAATTGAAACTGGTCACAACTGTTTCTGCATTAACGCGTCCGGAGATCCAGGAGCTGACGAAGATACTTGAACCCATGGGCGGTATGGTTACTTCGAACTGGACCGATGATTGCACCCATCTCACCATGAACGAAGTCTCGGTGACCGTGAAACTACTTCACGCTATGCTTGAGAATAAGCCGATTGTGACATTCGCGTACTGGCGAAATATGCTGCAGTCCGCGCAGAGCATCCATGTCAAGGAAGGATGGCCACAGCCAGAGGACTATCAGCCCACCAACATAGATGTCACCTGGCGTCCCGAACGTACCCGTCTTTTCGCCGGCAAAACGTTCGTCTTCATGAACCGCAAACACTTTGATATGTACGGATCAGTGGTGCAGAAGGCTGGAGCAACCTGCAAGGATATCAATTCGGGTGTGCGCAAAACATTCCTAACTAAGAGTGATGTAATAGTCATACAGTATGTGCCTTCTACCCAGTCTCAGGCCACTGAATCAATCAATAGTATTCAAGGTAGGTCTTGAAAAAATGCACACATCCCACATACAAATATCCAAATTTTTAGATATTCTGGAGCAGAATGGTCGACGTATTATCCAGGAGTACGAGATTGGCATGGCCTTGATACATTGCTCTATAACAGAGTTCTGCAATCCAACGCACAAGTTTGTTATCTCGGATTCATTGCCCACCACGGAGTCTCTGACTTCCTCGATGGCCTTTAACTCTTCGATCATTGTGCCAAACACGGAACGCAACTCGGCCCAATCCAATGCCACGCCCATTTCCGAGCTGGTAGTGCCCGAGTCAAATGAATGCGAAATGGAGCAAGATGCTTCCATGCCCGTTTCGGAGCCCCAAACTTCCATGCGTAAGCGCAGTCATGCCTTAACCGTCGACTCCTCGGATGAGGAGCAGAAATCAACATTGTCAAAACGAGCTAAATCGGTGACCGCTACCAAACTGACCAAGAAATTGAAGAATGCTATATTGTTGGACTCGTCTAATGAAGAAGATGTGACACCAGCTCCAGCGCCTGCTCCAGTTCAACGCGTAACAAGGCGGAGCAAAACCATCCCACAGGAGATATCAGTACAACCACCTGTTCCAGTGGCGACTAAACGCATAACACGGAGAACCAAACAGGTTTATTGTGTTGACTCGTCGGATGAGGAGAACGAAAATGCCCAGGAACCGAAAGAAACCCCAGCTGCAGTGGCTATCACAACTTCGTTGCCCAAGAAGAAAACAGAAGCACCAGTTGCCACCAGGATTTCACCACGACTCAATAGCAAATCATTGGCCACAAATATTACAAACCAGCCGGCTGAAAAACATGCAGTGCCACCAAAACGTCCTGTTTTATCGGTGGCCTCGGGTGACGAAGAAGATGAAGGAGACCTATTTCAATTCCGAAAATCTCCACAGAAGGCAACGGAGTCTGTAGTTCAGCCGAAGCCGGGAAACAAGGGCAAAACGCCAGCCAGAATCAGTGTGGTCGACTTTCTGCAGAAATCACAGCAGCAAGAGCCCGATCCAGTGCCTCCCCAGTTGGAGTCTCATTCCCAGACACAACCGCGCAAGCGTCTACGCCTGGAGCTGCTAAACGAAAGCGACAGCGACGATTGCGATAACCTTTTCAACTTTGCAGACAGCAAAAAGAAAAGAAAGACGCAGGAGGCTCAGAAAAATGACGACTCCACCGATGGCTTGTTCAACTTTAACTCCGAAAGACCGAGTGATTACGCTGACGAGGATTCGCGGTTAACCGAACCCTTTGTACCCGAAGCGGAAATCAAGAAACAATCCAAGTACATAGTGGCGCCGCGTAAGGAGAGAGCCAAGAAAGTGGACACCAGTAATTGGTTATCGTGTAGCAGGCTACACGATGATATCAAATGCGAAGTTGATGCAGATCTGGTTAAGCTGGAAACCTCCATTAAGGCGGATCCCGATGAGGAGCAGTGGCTGGCCGCCATGAAAGACAGCATTGAGGTGCGCATGTGCAACTTGAACATTGTCATTCGCTCCCAGGAGGAAGTGGATGCTTCTCTTGAGGATTCTGTGAGCAAGCATGGCGGCCGCAAGAACTTTAAAAAGTTTGTAAAGGTAAGTCTCAAATTAATTACAAATGTTTAATCGATATAATAATTGTGTACCCCCTGTTAGACCAAAAATCCTCATCCACAAAAGCGCGTTGTGGCGCTTAAGAGTCTACGGCTTGCTGATGGTGTAGTAACCAGTGTTTAATGTCGTGTCTAAATGTAATTTATCGTCGCTTGTGAAGTTACTTTATTTTGTTAACAATAAACTTGCGAAATATGCTCAACGCCTTTTCTGGCTCTTTGGACAGCTTGCGCTGGAACAGCGTCTGAGCGGCCAGCCACTCGTGCTTGGCTATCTTTCTGGTAAAACAACTTTCTGGAGGTGGATTCAGTTTCCTGGCCTTTGACTCGCGTTCAATGAACTTCTGTGCATCCGCCACAGTGGCTAGAACGTTTTCATTGAATTTGATTTTCTTTGCATCTTGAGCGGGTGTTTCCTTCCTGGCAATTATGGTGCCCACATCAGATTTGGCCTCCAGTCTGGCTTTTTCCATTTTGGTGACGACCTTTTTAGGTTTGAGGACTATGTCGGGTGTTTCGTCTGTCTGTATTTGATTATTAGGCCTCTTTGGGGCTTCTAATCTGGCAGGAAGCTGTTGATTCTCCGCGAGGAACTTGTGCTTCTGCACTTGCGGAAAGTTGGCAACCTGAGGGCGCAGCTTGTTGTACAGTATGGCGCTTTTGCTGGCCTGCAAGGAGCTCAGTTTGCTAATCTTGGCAATAGCAGCGATTAGCAGCGTGGTGAAGTCCATAAAGAAGTTATTGCGCAGGAGTTGAGTGAAGTATGAGGCTGCACTGAGGCAGCATTCCCTGATCCGCTCGTGAAGATGATAGAAGCCCAACAGACGCACCAAAATGAACTCAAAACTGCTCCGCGTGGGCATAGCTCCGCCCAATTCCTCATCGCACACATCCGGCAGAGCACCGCGAAACTGTTCCAGTTCCCTGGCCAAATCCAAACGAAGCAGGCGGCACAGAGCCGCATTAAGCTTACACACGGCACGAAATCCCGGCATATTACGGAAGGAGTTCTTCCGGCGTGCCATCAGTCGACCAATCATCGCCGCCGTCTGCTCGAAATCCTTGGCATCCGGTTCGGACAACTGTTGCAGGAACCTGTTGATGACCACGAACACATTTTTTGCTGTTTGAAGGAAGAGATCCTTTGTAATTGTAATTGTTTTCGCTTGCAAGCGATAAGAACATACCGAAACCCGTGTCCTTCACCTGCAGCGTCACCAAAGGTGGTTGTTTTAATTGAAATTCATTCCAAAAATAAGTATTTTCCATTTTCCTGTTGCGGCTTGAAAAATCGAAATAAAGTAAACAGTCCGTCAGTGCTGCTTATTTTTTATAGCTAGTTTTGGGAAATCGAAATTTGCTGATTGCTAGTTAACCAAACAAAGTATTGCTTCATCTTTCTTCTTATTTCATGATTTCACAACTTAATTCCATAAATATTTTACATTTTCATGAATTAATTCCTAATAAATAGGATTTCAGCTAGATTTTTGAAGCTATACTGCCACCACTAATTCTAGCTATAATTACTTTAGTTGTATTTAGATATTACACCAATTGCAGCAGCTGGTCACACTGCCGTTTACACGTGCAAGTTGAATTTGAAAAGAAAACATTTCTATTTTCCGGTAAAACATGAAGAAAAAGCAGGTGGAAAGTGCATCCGAGGAGGAGGAAGTGCAGACCGAAGACTCCGAGACTTCCGACGAGGAGGAAGTGCAGACCGAAGACTCCGTGGCTTCCGGCGAGGAGGAGCTGCAGGCAGAGGACTCCCAAGAAGAGGATTCTCATAGATCCGAACTGGATTTGGACGCCAGTGAGACCGAATCCGATGAAGATGATGACGAGGAGGAAGATCAAATTAAACCTGAGCTTAAAAGCAGGGCCGAGATTATCGACGAGAAGATCCACACCAAGTACGAGCAGTTAAAGGGCACCCGGCTGTATGTCCGGTTTCCCCAAAAACTGCCCCTGGACGTGGAGGAGTTCAATGCGAAGGTGAAGGCTCTGCATCCACTGGTTCTGAAGTCCACAAAGCCGCGCCAGAAGCACGCCCGTTTCTGTCTCGTCGATTTCAAGTCGAAGGAGGACCGCGACCAGGCCTTTAAGGATATCAAGACCGCCATTGAAAAGGATGAGAAGCACAAGGGTTTATTCGTATCCCTGCCCAAAACGGACTCCGACGATTTCGTCAACGAACTGGTGACCCGCAAGCAGACATCCATCGAGAACAAACGCACGAAGGCGCTGATGAAGCGAGCCACCAAAAAGGTCCTGGCCAAGGGTAACTTCACCTCGTCCGTGGTCATTACCAACCTGCCAAAGACCAGTTCGCTTGCCCAAGTGCGCCAGCTGTTCCAGGACGCAGTGGACATTCAAATACGACCGGGCAAGGGAAAGTTCCGAGAGTACAGCACGGCGACCGTAACCCTGCCAACGACCCACGATGCACGCAAGGCCATCAAAGAGAAGCTCAGCCTGGCGGGCACGCCACTGGTATTGCGCTTCAACACTCAGAAAAAGCGGAGCTCCAATGATAAGCTCAAGCGGCAGGCCGAGAATGGGAAGTCAACTGCAAATAAAGCACTCAGTCAGAGACAAAACAATAAGTGGTCAAAGGCTGAAAAGGGGGAAGCCCGTAAAATTAATAAACCAGAAAAAGACACTAAGCAACAACCGAGGGAAAACCTGAAGAGAAAGTCGCCCAAGGGGAAAACACCTAATATTAAGACACCCAAAAAGTTAAAGAAACTAAGTGCAGAATAGAATGTAGTTAATGTTTGCTAATAAAAATAAATTTTCACTTTTGATTGACCATTAATTAGGTGTAAAAACATATATGCATTTGTAAAACGTGTGTCAATTCAAAATAATAGAAGTGTTTAAATTTTTAAAATATTTATTATCGTACACGATATACATAGATATTTTTATATACATATATATATGAGAAATATATATATATATATATATATATAATTTGTAGTAAGCCGGCTGAGTGATTTACTGGATATACATTGATTGGTTACTTCAGCTTATATACTTATGAGATTTTTCATGTGCACAGAGTGTTCATTCGCGTAAACTTGACGGGCTTATGTGATCGATTTGTAGCTTCAAAGGTGTATTAATCCAACAGCAAGCGCGGTAGGGTTAGGTAAAAGTAATTCATATGTATAGTTTCCATTCTAGTAAAAAATATTCAACATTTGCGTGTATGCATTAACATGGGGCTTCATCGAATCTCGAATTGGAATCTACTATAGCAGTATACATACATATATTTGTTTATATCGCATATAAACGCATATCAACCGTGCACGGCAATTCGTAAATCCTGTTGCTGTGCATCGTTGGTCGCTATATTGATTTTTTGCAATACCACGGACCCCGAAATGGCGGGGTGAGCAGAATCGATAGACAAGTGGGCAAAGACCGGGGGTAACGCAGCAAAGGTTATTTTTTATGATGGATAGGGGAAAAAATGCACATTAAATGAGTAAATTGAAACGCGTTTCCATTGTGTATATAGCTCGGGTTTAGGTAGTAAATATTCTTAGTTCCTAACATGAATTGATTTTAGTTATTCAAAAATTGTGTAAATATAATCAAAATTTATATTTCCTTTTCGTAGCTCTATGAATTACAGAAACAAAGCCTTCGCCATTTCCACTTCCGCTTTTTTCCATTTTCTGATCTCGCTATCAAGCAGTCTCACATATTTGCTGTTATTTGTTCTTACTCCTCTCGATTTGTTTCGTTTCGATCTCATTACTCATTTGTCGGTTCATGGTCGCCCTTTGGATACCCGGTAGCAGACGGTTCCTCGGACTCCTCTATAAGGCGTTGAACATCCGCTCAAGTTGCTGATAAACTGGTGTTTGCAAAAAAAGTCCCTCATATATGGATGCAATGCATTAAAAGGAAAAATATTTGTATTTCTTTTCAGAGTGTGTATGTAACTGTGTGTGACTGATAAGGAAAGTAATTCAAGAATGTAGAGCCTGCTCCTACTATCTCGGCCCGCATTAAATCCGCTCAGGGGGTTATCGTTTCAATTTAAGAACTGACTTTACTTGACTGCTGTTTTCTCAGTGTGTTTTGTTGGGGAATTCGGGGTATCGGGGTATCTCTTTGGATATTAATTATATTGGGTAATATTGGTTATATTGTGGTTCCCCGCGTTTAAATTATGTGTGCAGCAACCGATCTCGGGCCGATGGCGAGCAGTTTTGTGGAGCTGCAGCCGCACCACCACCACTGCCACCCATGTGGGCGGGTGGTGGTGGTGGCGGCTGCGTTGGCGGCGACCTCAGCGGTATCGAAGGCTGGACGAACCGCACACGCTCCGCATCCGTGGATGCGGCGCTGCTGCTGGCTGCCGCGGCTCCGGCTGCCGCATTGAAGGCCGACGTAAAGGCGGTGGCGGCTCAAAGGGTGTGGTAGTTGCGCTCGTTGCGAGCCTTGTAGAACTTGTAGGCCACCAAGCCGATGGCCAGCAGGCCCAAAGTCAGCACAATCCCGCCAATGAACGAGGATCCATCGAAATGGCCGCACGGCACGGGCTTCGGCGCCGGAGTGGTTGATGTGTGTGGTGGCGGCGTAGTTGTGGTTGAGTTCGGAGACGGAGTGGTCGTAGTTGTAGGTTCAGGCGTGGTGGTGGTCGTGGCCGGAGTGGTGCTGCTGGTGGTGCTGGCCGGAGTGGTGGTGCTGCTGCTGGTGGTGGTGCTGGCCGGCGTGGTAGTCGTGGGCTTCTCCGTCGATGTAGTGTTTGGTGACGTCGTCGTGGTCTTCTCAGTTGTGGTGCTCGATGTTGTGGTCGACGGTGTCGTCACAGTAGTGTCCGGCGGACCGGTGGTGTTTTTGGCGTCCGGCGTGGTGGTTTCCGTTTGCGCCGGTGTGGTTACCGCTAGGACATAAAAAAGGGAGATCATAGTCAAGTTTATAGTCTTTAATGCGCTTCTAGAACTACATATTTCACATCTGAAATATTCTTGTGTCTCTTGGCAACTAGTGTAGTAAAGTTAAAACTAAGGAATCTACGTGACTGGATATTGATTTATTAGAACAGTTTCCTGTAAAAGTAAAGTTACTAAAGCAAAACTTGATTTTCTTCCTAATTATTCAAAATGCATATCACAAAAAATAGTAATTGTATGTAAATACATCGCGTATCATAGCGAATCAGCAACGAATGTTGTAGATAAAAACCGATGCGTCACTTTTAAACTAAAAGCAAACAAATTGGCAAATATGATAAGTGCACAGCGACTGTCATTCATCAATTTCCAATATTTCAAAGAGAACAACGTACCCACATGTACATACATATGTATTGTATGGCTTTCGTAAGAATTGAAAATAAAAATAGTTCCATTTCACATGTAAATGATGTCAAAATGGTCCAACAAAAAGAAAAAGAAACAAAACAAACTGATTTGGTTCGATAAATAGAGCTTAATCAGTTTAAATTAGACTGAATTTTAATGCAATTTAATTTTAAGCGATAATGCAATTCAAGAAAGTGCCAAAACGTATTTAAATAAAGATGAAGAAAGCCGAAAAGGATAATATAAAAATGTTTGTCAACAAAATATGGTTACAAATCTGTAAATACCAATATATGGGCTAATATTTTCTTATGGTAATAACAGCTCATGAAATCGGAAAGCAAAAACGGTGATGTTAAAATAAATGCTTGCGAACAAAATAAAAGTTTACAATTCTGCAATGTGCGAAAATATTTACGTATGGTAATGAAATGGGACAGACTTTCGTAAATCTGGAGTTTCTCGTTTTGGAAAGCTGCAGATATACAGTTCTTCTGCAGAGAACATTACCCCAAAGTCGAAGTAAGAGAAAATGGCCGGAGGATTGATATTCAATATAGGAATTGGCATTTAAAAAAACCCCCACATCCACACATACGCATGCATGCTCACACACACACAAACACACGCGCGACGTGTATGCGCACACGTGTGTGTGTGTGTGTGTGTGTGTGTGTGTGTGTGCGAGTGCATAATTGAGAAATGAGTGTTCCGTGTCTTCAATTCGATTTTAATTCGATGTAATTTGATCAAAGACTCACCTTCGTCGCACAAATTCGCGGAGAAGAGGCCAACAAAGAGGCACAAGACTAGGAATTTCGCCTGCCGATTCATTGTGGTCGTTAAAATGAATACTCGAACGACAAAGTGAGGAAATCTGCAAGTAGTATGTGTCCGGGGTAAAAGAAATACGTTTGCCAAGTGGTTTGGTATTAACAGATGCCGCTGGAGTTAGTATTGCACAACTGGCGATGTCGCCGAGCTCCGATTTTGCTCACCCACAAATTAAAGCAAGGCGCAATTAAGGAATGAATAACACGACACGAAGACCAGATTCTTTTATGCCAACTCGATACTTCGATGCATCCCGATACATCGACAGCTGTGCCGTGTTCTGCAGCCCTGGTACTGGGCGCTTATTAGTAGGGGGACTCCTCGGTGTTTTGGTGTGACCGTACTGTAATTTAATAGCCTTGTGTTTGCTGCAATAAATAATTGTGCACATAGATATTTTGAATGAATAATGGCAAAACCGGAACTTTATTTTCAAAATCAAAACTAATACTTAATATTTCCCCCCATATTTATATTTTATATTTCCTCTCCCCAATAAATTTATTTGAAAAAAGTGTATGCATTTATAGTTCAATTTTAATTAGGAAATCATTCGTATAGTAATAACTCATTAACGTTACGATGGTGAAATCAATTTTAGGAGTACCCTCTGTTTAGACGTTAGAAATCAGGTCAGCTGTAGGAATAGCCCTAATAAAAGTGCTGCAATTATATCTTGTTGCTGGAAAGCGAAGTCATCAGCCTCAGTATAATTTCGTAATCCAAGGAACGGTAACACTGCAGAGTTGGTGATTCAGATTCAGTGGATATTTTTTGTCTGTTTATGGCCCGTGTGGAGACGGGACTCGAATTAGCGTAAAGGAACGACCAGGAGAGCACCAAGATGACCTCGTACGTGCGCGCCATGTACGACTTTACCGGGGAGCCGGGCTCCTCGGAGCTCTCCATCGCAACGGGCGATGTGCTCTCGGTGACCAGGAGCGACGTGGGTGAGGGCTGGTGGGAGGGCAAGAATGCCCGTGGCCAGATTGGCCTCTTCCCGGCTGCGTACGTGGAGGTGATGTCGGCGGCAGAGGCCCAGAAGCTGAGCGCCAGTGGAACGACCTCGGTGCCACAGGTTCCGGATCCATTCGCCTCGCCCCCTTTGCCGCGCTACGATCAGACGGCGGATGACGATGGCAGCAACTGGGATGACGAGGACGACTGGAGCGACGACAACGAAACGTACTCGGAAATTGGCCCAGGTGGCCAAAAGTCTGCGGGACAGGCGGCTCGCGCTGGTGGACTGTCGCATTCCACCAGTGACTACGATAACAAACACCTGCCCATTGCCCCCAACGATGACACCCAATCGCTGGCCTCCGTGGCTGGCGGGACTGGTGCTGCCGGCACCGTCAAAAAGGGCATGTTCGCCAAAAGTTCCGATTCGTATATACTCGGCTTGTCCAGCACCAAGGAGAAGATACCCGAATGCGAGATGGCATACATTACACAGGTGGAGGACTCCATCTACCAGTGGACCCAGAACCATTCGCCCTACTCCGTTGTTGTGGCCAGCCCCAAAAAGGAGTCCAAATTCAAGGGGATGAAGACGTTCATCGCCTACCAACTGACGCCTAGCTTCAACAACATATCCGTGAGTTTGCTTCCCTGATATCGCCGTGATTAACAACACAATACGATAAAGCTCCGACCGCGGTCGCATGAGTGTGTAACTACGGGTGCAATATTTTGATGATAATATGTGTCTGTGCTTCTCTACCCTCTGCCAAGGGTAATTTGGGCTGGGTCATGTGCTTTCGAGACCACGGAATGAAAGCAATAAGAAAGACCAATCCTTTGTTTATCGAAACTCCGCACTAATTGCCGGGCAACATTTTCCAACTGAGTTGACCCAAGATGACCTCTTTGTTGGGAAAATTTAAATGCAGAGTATATCTACTTCTTTAATTAGTTTGTTTTAAACTCAATTTCAACACTAATAATAATTAGCACTTATTTATTGTTTCTTTTTACAAACTTGTTACCTAACATTTTCTTTATTTTTGTTTAAATACCTTCTATTATTTAAGGACATTGCGTATTTACTTTCCTAGATCCCACTTCAGAAGTCCTCTGTTAAATTTTGTTGAGATCTTTAGACGTTATTCCTTATAAAAACCAGAAGTACAAATGCTCGACCAAACGTTCTCCTTCGTTTTGTAAAGTTTTTAAAGCCCATTTAACCAGACATACAAATCGGTAGGGCATTACAGTGTCGTAAAAGCACTTTAAATTCTTCTTTGTGGGGCAATTCCGACCAACTGGTAGCCAACGGCACTGCGATTATTGCTTCTGCTTGCAAACCACCGCTGGAATGACTCACCACCGACCGCTGACCCCCCGCTCGGGGTAGCTCAAAGAAGCTGGGAAAATTTTCGAAAATTTTCGAAAATCAAAAAGTTGACTTTTTTGAACTTTTTTTTTTTTAAATCGCAATAACTTCGTTTGCCCACGTTTGCCCACCCTTTAGAATTTTGAAAAAACTTTTAGTTTAGAAAATATAAGGCCTTAAAGAATTATGCATTTTCCACCTACTAAAACTAAATATTTTCAAAAAAAATCTTTTGCCCACCCTTTAAAAATGGTTCTAAACGTTTGCCCACCCTTTAGAATTTTGAAAAAACTTTTAGTTTAGAAAATATAAGCCCTTAAGAATTAAGAATTTTTCATACCTCAAAACTAATTATTTTCAATCAAAATCGTTTGCCCACCCTTTAAAAATTGTTTTTTTCGTTTGCCCACCTTTAAAAAAAAATATTTTCGTTTGCCCACCTCTTAAAACTAAATATTTTCAAACAAAATCGTTTGCCCACCCTTTAAAAATGCTTTTTATCGTTTGCCCACCCTTTAAAAATTGTTTTTTTTCGTTTGCCCACCTTTAAAAAAAAATATTTTCGTTTGCCCACCTCTTAAAACTAAATATTTTCAAACAAAATCGTTTGCCCACCCTTTAAAAATGCTTTTTATCGTTTGCCCACCCTTTAAAAATTGTTTTTTTTCGTTTGCCCACCTTTAAAAAAAAATATTTTCGTTTGCCCACCTCTTAAAACTAAATATTTTCAAACAAAATCGTTTGCCCACCCTTTAAAAATGCTTTTTATCGTTTGCCCACCCTTTAAAAATTGTTTTTTTTCGTTTGCCCACCTTTAAAAAAAAATATTTTCGTTTGCCCACCTCTTAAAACTAAATATTTTCAAACAAAATCGTTTGCCCACCCTTTAAAAATTGTTTTTTTCGTTTGCCCACCCTTAAAAAATTGTTTTTTTCGTTTGCCCACCTTTAAAAAAAAATATTTTCGTTTGCCCACCTATTAAAACTAAATATTCTTGCATCTCACAATTCGCACGGAAATCTTTCTTTTTCTCTTTCTTACTCCCAAAAAACGATCAGAGACTTGAGGTTTCTTTGCATATAACCAACATATACATATAAATAAAACACACATACACATTTTCGGTTCTGCTATCTGCACTGAAAAAATCAAATTGAATAAAAAATGAAAATACATATTTTTAATGCTTATAAAAACTCCAAATTATTTTAGATAATAATATGGTAAAGCAAACACATATTTGTTTTTAAATAATATCTTTTTTTCTGGGTTGTATGTATGAAAAACAATTTGCTAGCAACGAAACGTACAACTGATTTTTAGCTATGTAGCTTTTCAGTCGGACAGCAACTTAACGGTTAAGCATGTGAAATTGTTGTTGCTCATCATACAGAACTAGTGAAGAATAAGCAGAATACACAATATTGTTTTTGTAATATGTACGTATGTATGTATGCATAGCCAATGCGGCAAGTACCACGTGTGCGTATGCATGTGTTCTGTAGGCAGATCCTAAAGCGAGTTGGCGCCACAACTTACTGAAAGTAAGTTTTAATTGAAAATATTTTTTTTTAAGGATAAAAACAATTTTTTTACGGTTGGGAGTAAGAAAGAGAAAAAGAAAGATTTCCGTGCGAATTGTGAGATGCAAGAATATTTAGTTTTAATAGGTGGGCAAACGAATATATTTTTTTTTAAGGGTGGGCAAACGATAAAAAGCATTTTTAAAGGGTGGGCAAACGATTTTGTTTGAAAATATTTAGTTTTAAGAGGTGGGCAAACGAAAATATTTTTTTTTAAAGGTGGGCAAACGAAAAAAACAATTTTTAAAGGGTGGGCAAACGATAAAAAGCATTTTTAAAGGGTGGGCAAACGATTTTGTTTGAAAATATTTAGTTTTAAGAGGTGGGCAAACGAAAATATTTTTTTTTAAAGGTGGGCAAACGAAAAAAAACAATTTTTAAAGGGTGGGCAAACGATAAAAAGCATTTTTAAAGGGTGGGCAAACGATTTTGTTTGAAAATATTTAGTTTTAAGAGGTGGGCAAACGAAAATATTTTTTTTTAAAGGTGGGCAAACGAAAAAAACAATTTTTAAAGGGTGGGCAAACGATAAAAAGCATTTTTAAAGGGTGGGCAAACGATTTTGTTTGAAAATATTTAGTTTTAAGAGGTGGGCAAACGAAAATATTTTTTTTTAAAGGTGGGCAAACGAAAAAAAACAATTTTTAAAGGGTGGGCAAACGATAAAAAGCATTTTTAAAGGGTGGGCAAACGATTTTGTTTGAAAATATTTAGTTTTAAGAGGTGGGCAAACGAAAATATTTTTTTTTAAAGGTGGGCAAACGAAAAAAACAATTTTTAAAGGGTGGGCAAACGATAAAAAGCATTTTTAAAGGGTGGGCAAACGATTTTGTTTGAAAATATTTAGTTTTAAGAGGTGGGCAAACGAAAATATTTTTTTTTAAAGGTGGGCAAACGAAAAAAAACAATTTTTAAAGGGTGGGCAAACGATTTTGATTGAAAATAATTAGTTTTGAGGTATGAAAAATTCTTAATTCTTAAGGGCTTATATTTTCTAAACTAAAAGTTTTTTCAAAATTCTAAAGGGTGGGCAAACGTTTAGAACCATTTTTAAAGGGTGGGCAAAAGATTTTTTTTGAAAATATTTAGTTTTAGTAGGTGGAAAATGCATAATTCTTTAAGGCCTTATATTTTCTAAACTAAAAGTTTTTTCAAAATTCTAAAGGGTGGGCAAACGTGGGCAAACGAAGTTATTGCGATTTAAAAAAAAAAAAGTTCAAAAAAGTCAACTTTTTGATTTTCGAAAATTTTCGAAAATTTTCGAAATTTCATATCTTCAAAACTGGACGTGGGCAAAAAAAACTAATTGGTGGGCAAACATGGGCAAACGATGGGCAAACGATTCCACCTTTCAAATTTCAAAAATACCATTTTCCCGAACCCAG